GTTAGAATACTCAATGCTTCTTATAATATTGTAGATGGAGCAGAAATAAAACTCGCTTTATAAGCCACCAACATTATACTGAATGTAAAGGATTCGCTAATAAAATTTTTGAATATTATGAGTCTTCTCATGGAGACCATCCTCTATGAGAAGCATTTCTGAAAGTGGCAAATATTTTTGAGAACATAAATAAATATCGATATTCAAAATTCCCTCTCTAAAACAATCATTTCTACAGAATCATCTTGAAACGTCGGCGGTCATCTTACACAGCTTCGAGTGCACTTACATGTTAAGGATGAAAATTCCATTAACCAATTTTAGTGTTATTAGGTTCTGTATGTGCTCACTTTGTAGAGATCATTAACTTTCTCAGTGTGGGATATGTAAAAAATCTATTATATCTTCGCCGAGACTCGAATCACGGATCTTCTAATTACGAGTTGGACGTACTTGTAACTCAATAGCAATACGGTGAAATCCAATAATTCCTTACATTTTCCCTCACTTAAAGAAGGAGTAGGGAAAAGCATGAAACCCTGTCGATCAAATCATGTGGTGACGAATCATCGTTCACTGCATTTGATTTTGGGCGCCACTGTAAAAACAGCTTTGTCGAAATCGAAACACCTGATAAATTAATTGTGCCCTTAGTGGAATCCAAATCCGAATCATTATCTTCCAGCTGCGAGCTGGACGTGCTTGGACATCGAGAGCACGCCCGAAGGAACGCGATAATCTCTTACAAGTCTATAAAATTTGAACAAATTGAGTTGAGACGAACTTAAGGATAATTTGTTAGTAACATTTACTAAACGTTACGCTATAAATCTCAGCAGATACATACGGCAATATTTTGTGCTTCATATTTAACACCCAGTCCCCATCAAAAATACATACTAGAAATTTTTATATTTCAGTTTTAACACATACCGGGGTCTTCAGAAAATAATCATCGCTATATGCTATTATTTCTGTTGTAATGCAAATAAAATAATGTCCACGGAAGTTATAATCATCCACATGCAATTTATATGAGTTATAGCCGCAAACATCAGTCTATAACATCTTGTTTCTTTAATGCCCATTTTATGTTATTTTCTTGACATTTTGTTGCTGATTTGGCATTTTTCTCTTATTAAATAGTTATTCAGAGTTTCTTATTTAATTTCTTTATGATTTAATGAAAAGGAATACAGTTGGGAAGTTATGTCATTTATCATACACGGTATTTATAAATGATAGGAACATATTTCATGACTTTTACATAAAGATGAAGGCAGATATCAGAATTTTTTCCGAAAAAAATGTACATAATTTTTTACACAACATTACCTCGCAAATATTTAGTGAATAAGTTTTCCTATATCACATCAGTTCGAAATATTCACCATGTCACACCATGTGCGAAAATGTTCGCCTGAATTCGATTCGATATCGATTTGCCGATTTACATACAACTTATGCAAAATTTAAGTATAAATATTTGAAAAGCTTTTCGGTAAGGTTCCATTTGTAGTGTTAACACAGCATGTGGTGAATAGAGATTTTTTTTTTTTTTTTTTTTTTCTGCCTAGCTAGCTACTACTTGTTATATATGTTTTATAAATAGCATAGTCACAGCAGTAATTACAAGGGATTTCCAATTTCATACGTTTCCTTTTCATCCTGAGATCAAAATTGTGGCGTTTCATCCGCTGTTCTTTCTTATACCTTTTATCAGTAACTCTTCCTGACAAAATCTTTTCCGTTTCATCCGTTGCTCTCCTCCATCCTCCTCATCAGTGCCCACTACTGAGGATCTCCTCTTCAAGTCGTTGTTGAGAGGATTATTTGTTGAGACATTCAACATTACGTGATCAATTCCAAATGGCTTGTTATGTTTAACCAATTTAATGAATACACCAATTGCTGTGAAGTAATTTTAGAACCATGCAAAAACATGAAATGCGGTACTGTTTTCAATCATATAGGATAATTTTGAATTTATCTCTTGATATTTTCGTTCATAATGGTTTAAAACGTGATCACGAGTTTATCGAAACCTAAATTTAATGAAACCAGACGAGATCATTCAGCTGTAATATTCAAAGACAAACCATATGCATTAAAAAGTGACAATAAACGTTGGATTTGCCGAGAAATTCACTGCAATGGAATTTTATTGACAAATTTTGAAGGCTATGTATTACAAGAAGGAAACTATATTCCTAACATAGCTTAAGTTCGAGATAGAAAAATAGATCACAAAGTGGGGTGGGAAAAGACGAATTTACTCTTTCAGCAAATTTATAACGATACTGTAGCAGCAGAACGATACTTCGCACTGGATTTTCTTACAGAAATCTCTAAATATATCTGTGAAATTATCGCTGTACAGACACCGGCATTATGAAAAAGGCTTATCTTCCATAGCAGGGACCCGAGATGATATAATTTTGACAAAAAAATGCAAACAAAATTTCTTAATTATTAAATATTGTACCTGTGATATATATATATATATATGTAATGTTTTCAGTTATTCCATCACATCGTGGGCGAATGGTGAGGCTATTTCATTACACGTTCTGGCAGATGGTTGACGAAGCTGGGATGACTGAAGTACGGAGAAAAATGACGACTCAGGACTTTTCACTTTTAACAGCAAGCATATCTTTATTTTAATTTATAGCAGATGACATTTTCCAGATGAAGTTAATCAAATAACTTATTCAGTATTTGAACTATTAGATACGACTGACTTTAAACTTTAATACGTCATAACGTTCTAACAAAGAAAGAGGAGCATAGCGGAAGCGTTAGCAGGACGAAGGCGAGAAGGCATCTGCATTAAAACGTTACATAAGATAGAAAAGTCTGGAACCTGTGAGAAGAGATGAATTTAGGGGCAGATTACCAAATTTAGAATGTTAATTTTGAGGTCGTCAATTTTTTTTTTTTGAAACAACTATCATATTTTGTTATATCTTACATATTTTGAATACGAATTTTATAATTATTCTAAAAATAAAGATGTTAAAAATAAGTGAAATTAGTATAGATAAGTAATATGAAATTATGGTTAATGCATGTTAAAATTTATGGGTTATTGTGTGTTAAGTATAGTATGCTGAGGGTGTACTGGTTCCTTCAACAGAGGCCTGTAATTACCTCTGTACAGTTGTTCCTTTTACCCTCTTCATGCAAGATAATGTTGGAGGCTCTCATTTTATGAATGCATGTAAATTTTTTATATTATTATTATTATTATTATTATTATATTATTATGGAATGTGTTAATGCAGTTCTCAAAGGCCAGTTACCTTAATGCAAGGAACGGAGGCCTTTTCAAGTAACTGCCTAGGCACCCTGGGCCACCAGTGCAGAGAACACACTGGTTAGCTCAAGAGGACAGCCCTATTGATGGATATGTTTGTTTAGAAGTATTGCGAGGCTTCCAGTTTGGTAAAATCAGGAATTGTAAATGAAAGATGATAACGGTGAAACCATAAATTCTAAAAATCTTAATCCTATTATTTATGATGTTAAATTATAATTTATCAGTATGGAAATAAGTATCATAAATATTTATGTGCATTACATTTAATTATAAGAATTGATTATGTAAAAGTTTATTTTGTGATATGCTGTAATAACAAGAACCTTCCCTGAAGAATTATGATTATATGAACTCTCAAACAAAAAGACTTTTGGACTGAAATGCTGAAAAATTCAATAGGACTCTAAAAATGAAAAATTTATTTTAAAAAAAATTGATATTATAAAATTATACTTTACAGGACAAAAATTTTATGATTTATTTATTTTTATTTTTTATTTTTATTTTATTTTATTTTATTTTATTTTATTTTTTATTTTTTTTTATTTTTTTTTTTTTTTTTTGCATTTGCTAGTGTTTTAACTCTTTCTCCTAAAAAGGCTTCTTTGTCGCTACGCCTTTTTCTTTTGAAGGGGGGAATATGTAAGATAAAAATATATGAATCAAAATTATAGATTAAACTATAAACATTAATTTTTCCTCTCTATTCTAAAATCGTAATAACTTCTTTGCATAGCGTCATTTCTAGATCACTCTATGATCGGCGCAGCTCTGATGACGTAATCATTGGGAACTGAAACTGTCCTTGTAAACCAAAACTTTTCTCTTCGCGTGCCTCCATCTTGCATAACTACGCACTTCAGCTTTTGCTCTCTACTGTGCTAAGATGTAATTTCGCTGGCTTGCTTTCTATCCCAACAATATCAAAAATGTAAATCTTCTGTGGAAAGGCACGACTAGAGTGCCAAGTGATTGTGGCCACAAATATCAATTGGAAATAAAAATGGAATTAAAACTGCCTCGACTGCCAAGTTCTTTAAATACTACGCAATCAAAATTATTCTTCAATATGGATCTAAGCACGCATCTACAGTGTTCTTTCTTTTCCTTTGCTCTTATTATGACTTATGACATATATATATATAAACGTAATACACCGCAAAAGTGAGGATAAGTTATAAACGTTATGTGTATTATATGCGTTATTGACAGCATGTAAATATTTACAGCAATTTACAACATTATCGATTCTTTTAGGCATTCTTGTAGCACAGGGTGGCCAACTCCTATGCGTATGATTAATTTTTGACTTGAAAACTGATACACAGCAAAAGTGATTCAACGCAAAAGTAAGGATCGAGAATAATAGCCCTTCTGGGGTTAAAAATATTTCTGAGATTTCTGTAGTTTCTATATTATGTGCTTTGTTTTAGAATTTGCAAGTTGTCCATTATGGAGATCGCATGCACTGAATTTTTTCCCTTATGATATAAATATTATTCTTATTTAGTGTCACGCAAAAATTATCATTCGTAAACACCCTGTATTATGTATTACCAAAAATATTTTTTTCATTCAATCTCCCATCCTTTCCCCCAGAGAATCGGAGTACCTATTGTGGTACTAGACATTTAAAAAAAAGAAAGAAAGAAAAAAGAAAAAGAAGAAGCACACCTACCCTTCTCCCTGCTTCGTTGTTGTGGAGGTTCATGAGCTTCCTGCCCTGTTCTTTGGACCCACGGGGGTGGTTGATCTCCCGTTCTCGCACATCGACGAAACCTTCCGTGAATCGATATCCATACTCGATGTTGTCTCCGCAACCTCCCCAGATCCAGTCGCGGTGCAGGTTCTGGGGACGCATGGCTCGACTGCATCCGCAGTTGGACAACTGGCCGTCGCGACAACCTCGCGACACGGTGTGAACCACCCCAGCCGCCGCTACCGCGTGAGCGAAGGCCGCTTCTCGACTACCTGAAACGAAACAAAGAATCCTCAGAATAAATCAGTTAATTTTACATAGATAGCAATGTGATCAACATAATTACTGAAATAAAATAGACTACACAGTAAGGATTCTTTTGAACATCAGAGGTAACTGGAATCTGATTGAACTTTGTAAATTCCTTTTGAATTTTATGAACCTAGCCGCTTAGGGGATAAAACCATCTAAAATGGTAAACAAAGAAAGACAAAGGAAAAAGATATAATGATTTTACTGAGCTCGGTTAGTGTCATTTCACGGGTCCTGGTAGAGATAAAGAAATGCATTTATTGCCTTTAAATCGCTTACTTTGTTAATCGTAAACATTGACGCATGGAAGATCAGCATGTTTCATTTCACGTAATAGCAACATATTTGTTTTAAATAGCTCGGTTTTTTGGATATTCATGAAACAGAAATATCTTACACTTTGTCGAGAGGCATTGCATTGCTTTTAATTCGCTCAGTTTGTTAGATCTAAACTTCATCAAGATAGCACGAAACATAAATTTAATTTAAAAAAAAAATACTACCTCGAAATTTAAAACTGGGGCTTCCGTTTGCATATGTGGAGGGCTAGATATGTTTCAAACTTTGGTGGTTTGGACGTCATTTATTCCACATTGCGAGAAACAAATATATACATATACCTATGTACGTATCTACGGGGGGAGGGAGGTATGCATGTTAGCACATATATTCTTCATTGTTTAATAATAGAGATAAATTGCAGTTTTAATCCGAAAATTAGCAACTAAATATTGGGCCAAAAAAAGCAACCTTGATTTGGGGCATATTTTGAGAATTCTGTCGATTAAAAGACCGATAAAATTTAAAAAAAAAAAAAAAATCTGAAAGAGTTCAGATTTTAATGGTCACCCAAAAGAATTTGTTAAGGTTTTTTACGCTCTAACTAAGCTCGTAGTCTGCCAATCTGTCGTTGTACTCATTACTTCTAGCTTTGTTGTTAAGCGCTTTTCTCTTCTCTCTCACACCATATACCAAAAAAATTACAAAAATCTTAAAAGCAGCTTATTTTTAGAATTTCCGGTGCAGTGTCAAGTGCTAGCGTATGTTTTCTTTCTTTCTTTCTTTTTTTTTTTTTTTTTTTTTTTTTCTTTAGTTTTTTTTTTTTTTTTTTTTTCCAGTTCATCATATCAATGTTTTCTTAGTTAAGGTGGCTTACAAAAGAATTTCGCGTCTTCTTATTCTTAATGTTTCGTGTGTTGACTTTATTTATTAGATATCACGTTCATTTACGTTTCATAAACTTCAAATCAACAGCAGTATCACAAAATATTTAAAAACAGCATATCTTTAGAATTTCCGATCGATGATCTTGCGCGTTGGGGATAAAAATGCTTCTTTCCGTACGGTGTTGCACTTGCTCACTTTCAAATCGTTGAATTTGTTAATCAAAAAAATAATTCAAGTTTTATAAAATATTCGAAATTCATAATTCGGGCTTCCAGAGCACATGTTCGGGTGGAGGACAACGTTCTTCAAAATTTAATGCTTCTAGTTACTGTCGTTTTTTTCATAACGCGACGATATATTCTTCATTATTTAATTTCTTTAAAGATATTATAGGGGAATAGTGTTTGCTGGCAACAATTTAAAAAGTGATTCGCCGTTTTTAGTAGAACGTGCAAAATCCTGTTTTGAGACTAAAAGCCCATTCGGGCTAATATTCTTCTGGGCTAATATAAATATATATATATAAAACTTTCTCTTGCCCTATGTGGGATCGGTATCGAAATTAGTAGAAATTTTATTGCAATCTAATTAGAGAAGGATTCAATGTGCAACTCTGTGAGTGTTAAATCTTCCAATCTGTGAGTGTTAAAAGTGTTTCTACTTCTTTATTCCTTCCCCCTTTTTTTTTTTTTTTTTTTTTTTTTTTTTGATTTTATCAGCATTTTCACCGTTTTAATTTTTTTTACCAGTGATGTTTTAATTGCTTATTTTAGAAATTCAGTAAATCTTTTTAGAAAATTCAGCATTTTTATGAAAATTTACTGACTCTACATTGGCGCCCGAACTAAAATGTGATGGATGATAATTTGTCATCACCAGGATTTGGCAATTGCGTCCCCTTTTCACTTTTTCAGGTTTCTCGAAATAGGAACCATGAAACAAGTTATCGGAATCCGAATGTTGGACCTACCGACTGTTAGTTGGACGTGTTTCCATTTACATCTCTTGCGATAGGGGAGGGATAATATACCTTACATTCTCCCTCTACCCCAGTCGTCAAGTGGGGTAGAGGGAGAATGTAAGGTATATTATCCCTCCCCTATCGCAAGAGATGTAAATGGAAACACGTCCAACTAACAGTCGGTAGGTCCAACATTCGGATTCCGATAACTTGTTTCATGGTTCCTATTTCGAGAAACCTGAGTCCTCTACAATAGGAATGGAAGCAATCTCTATTGTAGAGGCCTCAGAATGAATGAATATGAATTACATATAGTTAATAGTTTGTATAGTCTCTACAATATGAATTGCACCATAGTTAATAGTTTGCATGTAAAAATGTTATACTTGGGATAGTACTTAATCAGTTAAAATAGCGATAACAGTTAGACTTTTTTTAAAAAAAATATTGTTCATTTTAAAAAACACCAGGCATTGATAGATTCTCAGTACCATTCATGTTTGCTAAAAGCCATTAAATTATTTAAATACTTTTTAAATTAGAGACAGCTAATAATAACATGAAATGTCTTCTTGACTATTCAGTGCATTATACCAATAGTAAGTTTAATAAAATTTAATTATAGATGTTTTGAGCCATGAACTCGATAAACACGACTTCTGTTACTTTAGGTAAATAAAAGACACCTCTCAGATTTTCAGAAGATCCTTACCTCTGATCCAATTTGCAGAGAAAAAAAAAAAAAAAAAAAAAAAAAAAATGAAATCACAGAAAAGTGAGAAAAGATTGACGTCTCCTGCTCTAAAAATAACAACCTTCCAAATATGAACGAAAGTGAAGAAGATTGTGGAAGGGGAATTTAAAAAAAAAAAAAAAAAACTGGCGGGAAAGCCACGTGCTGACGGGCAGAAGTAGCGTAGGGTTAAGGCCTGTAATTTTGTCACGAGACCCATACGTCAGCCTGTCTTCGCAGGCCCATTAGAGACCCCTAATGATCACTAATGATCTCTTTTGCAGGATCCACTGGGTAGGTGATAAATGATGATTTCCACAATCTTGTTCTTCCCTGCCACTTCACACCCGCTTAACCTTTATACCACCCCCTCCCCCAGAGCCAATATTCCCTTTCAAAAGGGCCCGGTAATTAGATGGCCTGGATGGAAAATTCACTCTTTTCCGGATCATAAGCTCGTCTCTCACAGAACTGAAGATGGTGAATGAACGGGAAGAGCTCTCTGAAATCAGTCGGGAATTCTTCCCTTATACAGGTAGTCATCCACTTATTGCTTTCTTATTCCTTTTGGAAGCGTAACTTTCTTTTTTTTTTTTTTTTTTTTTTTTTATTTTTGTTATTTATTGTGATGTCTTTTTCTTACCTGCCTACAGACGGAGACTCGGCTGAGACATGGGCATTTTTTTTTTCTTTGCCCTTTGGACTTGAGTTTTTAGGACAGCTGAAGAATGTCGTTGACAAGCAGTTTAAAACGTAAAGTTATTTTTGCCATTCGATGCTTTTTTACAGTCATGTAAATTTAACTTGGGTTAAGAGCTAAATAAAATTAAATATGGGTTTTGATCTCTAATTAAATTGTTTTCCAGGCCAGTAAATATAATATAGCGTTTTAAGAGGGCTAGATAGTTTAAGTTTGTTGTACATTAAAAACATAAACATCGAACTTTACAATAAAACATTTTGTACAGAAGGGGCAGTACGCGGGATTCATGCCCAGGCAAAAGTAAAATAGTTCAACAACATTTAATTGAAGCATTTCTCGATTACTATGCACACTACAGAAATAAGATATTTGCTTATTTCAAGATTACCTCTTTTACAACTACTTTTGAGTTTTGCAAGCTACAGAATAAGCTTAAGATAATAATAAGGTTAAAAAAAAAAAAAAAAACCTGACGTGGACACCACGTGACTTTCTTGTACTGTTGGTATTAAATTAAGTTTCTTATTATACACATTTCTATACACACTTTTTGCTGCACTACATTTGAACTTATTTCATTAGAGATATAATTCTCATTCAGTCAATTCAGTTCTCACTTCACGGTAAGGTAAATATGCATAAAAACTCAAAACATCTTCATCAAAAATTGTAAAACACAGAAACAACTAAAACAATAGGTAACAGTTAAAAGCATTTTATCCCACAATTAAAATTACAATTTCTACGTGCAATTCGGCCAGAGGGCAGAAAGGCAAAATTTTCGGTGCACAAAATTAAGGTTTGGTACCACGGGGTAAAAAAACACTGAAGTTGGTGAACCAGCTGATATAATTCACTATTCTACCAAGATTCAAATGTAAACAAATGGAAGCTTTCTTAAGCCAGCGCCCATAACTTTTAAATTGTTGATAATTCTACATCTATTGCATGCAGATTAATTAAAGGCATAAAACCTTAGCCTGGACATAAAAACAATCAATCACATTTAAAGCAAAAAATGAAGAATTTGCCAACATATAAGAATAAAAAAAAAATCTGTGAGCGCCAAGAACTTAATAAATAAAGTAAATGTAAAAAAGGTTAATAAAAAAAGATAAAAAAGTTTTCTAAAGCTACCTTAGTAAGAAAACTGAGCATTGATGTGATGAACTGAAAAAGACTGAAAAAAAAAAAAAAAGAGAGAGAGAGAGAGAGAGAAAAGAAACACATATTTCAACGCTTTTAACGCTGTATTGGGAATTCTAAGTGTATTCTTGTTAAAATTTTTGTAATTTTGCTGTTGTATCGTATATGGTGTAATTCCGAAGAAAATGGTGCTTAATAATAAAGCTTGTGTGAGTGAGTGCAGCAACAGACTGGTAGCCTACGAGCTTAG